TTCTTACAAAAATAAAAGATTTATCTTTGTTTCTATTTCTCATTTCCATTCTCCCAAGCAAACCAAAAGTTCTGAAACACTGATACAGACTCTCAGAGAGTACAGATGAGATATTTTATGGAAAGAGTGATGTTGGGAGAGGATCTGAAAAAGAGAGGAATGGGAAGCAAGGGGCTGATTTGACTAAAGACTATAATTATTTTGGACAGGAAAGAGCATTTGCACAAGCTGGAGCTATCCCTCATCCAGCACCAACACACTGAACCTGGAAGCAACTGGTCACTCAGGAAATTGCCACAATGAAATATTGCTGGAGTAAGAAGAGCAGACAGAGTTCCCAATATTGATTTTGTATTAACTGTTATGGGAGAAGATACCTTGAAATCTTTGAGGGAAATTTATCCATGAAGCTTTGTAGCATCCTACCATCCCAAGATGGACAATATGGTTTTGGGTTTTGTTGCAAATATTAATGTTTCTGTCACTGTTTTTTGGACTGATCATACTTTTCTGGTAAAAATAGCTAATCATACTTGGGATTCTTACACATCTTCCCTCATTTTCCACCACCATCCATCTTCCTTTCCACCTTCCATCATAACTCACCTCTACACTTCTCTGTTTCACTTCGCTGATTAGTACTGTCTATTCTTTTCATTTCCCCTGGACAAAAGCAGTGAAAATGTAACTTCATGCTGAGACATAGGAATGTTCAGGAACCAATTCTGCAAGAAGCTTTTAAGTATCTAAGTGTGCAAGCCATCCTTGGCTCAAAGTCAATGCTTCACTTCAATGCTGAACTGAGCATTGACATGCTAAACCTAATCTTCAGACGAACTTCTTTGAAGATCACATACATCACTGCACTTCTGAGTCTTACTAACTGTGGAGAGCTGGGAGGTATAGGCAAGATCATGGTACAGTTCCCCCACACTTTTACTTGCTATGGGGGAGAGAGGTCTATGCACAATTCACACAGAGATTTCATGAAAAACAGGCAAGAGTGCTCCTACCAAGCAATTCTAAAAGTAGCCTGGTATAAATAAAATGTGTCAGTTTGCATTTTCGTCCCAGACTATAGCCCCAAGTTTTAAGAACTTTTTTTGCTAGCTGCTGAAGACTTTCATATGGGTAAGTTCACAGCTCTATAAATTATTGTTATGCTTATTTTGCCTGTGAGCTATTTTCTCTGAATTTGTAACAAGACATAAGTTTTCTGCTCTGTTAAAGTGTAATCATAAACGTATCTTTCTGAACACAGAGACCAAATAAATGTTTCCAGTTTCAGTAGTAGGAAGTTTTCCCAATGTAAGCCAGTATGTTGAAGCAATACAAGCTAGTAGCCAGCACACCATATAACTGTTTTATTTTAAAAAATAAATAAATAAAACAAATACTGCCAAAACTCCACATTTGCAAGGAGAAGAAAAAGTATCATTTAATTGTCTCTACATGATGTTTACATATAAGCAAGAAGCTGGAGATTTATAGTCCAGTTGTTCTCATAACCAACCCTAGTGACAATGCTCATTCTGCTCATTCTAATAGAAACATCTGCCTAATCAACAGAGCCAGGGATAACCACTGCTATCTGACATTCCAGTGGTTTACAAGGACAACACACTTACAGCTGCAAATCTGCCACAAGCAAACAGCAAAATGCTCTGCTGAATGCACCACAGTCATTCAGATTACTCAGATGGTTCTTCCTATCCTCAGTAACAGGCCAACGTGGATCTTGATCCAAAAGAATCAAGCTCCTTATCTCATTAAATTTGATGGGGTTTGGTGTATGGGTTTTTGAGACATTTTTTTAAACAGCTTTTCCTGGCAGAACTTACAAGCTAATAAATATTTCTAAGAGACCTTCCTTATGCCAACACCCAACAGCAGAACTCAAATTCAGAAAAAACTCTTGGAAGAGAGAATCCAAAGAGTAAAGCTCACCACTTCGTCTAAGTGTCACTGCTGGTTCCAGTTCTCTCTCTGCACAGCTTGCTCCTCTTGGCTGCTTTCAGCACAGATTAGTGACCTTCAACCCTGACAAATATGTTGCCCTCATGCTTTTATGATCTCATAATCTCTCAGAAGGTGCCACATTCTGAGATTAAATACACCAGAATCCCAATGGCAGCATAATACAGATGCAGCTGTGATTAATGCCAATTAAAACAGTAGCAGCATGTGACAGCTGTTACAATTACTGTTAATTAACAAGTTTTAAACCCTCTCTTATCAGGCTCCGATTTAAAGTATGCGACTAGAATAGGTCATGAGTTCATGACTCCTTAGTCCTTTGAATGACTTTCTGCTAGAGAACTACTACATGAAAGGCTTTAGCAGAAAAGCTTTGCATGATCTGTTGGTATTTCCCTGGAAAATGGCTCGTAAAGAATAAAGGAACTTCGGCTATGGAGGGAATTTGGGCACAGGACACTGCCCAGATGAACTCTTAAACATAATTTGCTTACAGTGCTCCGCACAGCATGTTAAATTTCATCTATAAATATACAAGTTAAACAATCCAAGTAGGTAACTACAATAAAGTTGTGCAAATACTAATTGAAAGAGAGGAGAAGGTTGCTCTTAAACTCTATTTGTCACATCTCACACCAATTTTAGAAACGTGGTATCTTCTCCCCTTCTCCCACCACAGCAAGAAGGGAGCCCCTGTTTAGGATTTGTTTCCATTGCACTGGGAGGTCTGCCTGAAGCACGTGCAGACACGCTGGCTGCACCTATCCCAGGAAAATAAACACTGCAGGGATGCTGCCAGACCCAACCATTGATGCTATCACCATGGTAGAACAGTCACTGGCATGCTGGGACCCATGCTGTCCCAGGAAGCATCATCCCACATGGGTGCACAAGTCCACAGGGGCCAGGAGCCCCACCCTGCAGCCACCCTCTCTGGCAGGAGTGAGAAGGATGTGGTCAAAAGGCAGCAGTTAGCCCCCAGGCTAAAGAACAGACCTTGGCACTGGCTCACAGTAATTCTAATAAACACAGCAATTAGGGATAGCTTTAACTAGATTGCTTGAGCAGGTTATCTGGGCTCCAGCACAAAGTGGGCACCTCATAGGCCCCAACAAACCTGCCCCACCCAGGCAGCTGCCACATTTTCGCTCCAGTTGTTACCTTAATCAGTGTCTCACCCCCTTGTCCACCAGTTAAGTCTTGATAATACATGTCCCATGGGATGCAGGAATGGCAGGTCCAGTGTTGGATATCAGTGCAGACCAGAAAAGCCACCCACATCCCCAGAACGATGAACTCACTGCAAACTTTAATCATCTTAAATAAAGGGAATGAATGCTCAAAAATCTTTCAGACTTTAGCCGAATGCTGTAGGGATCTCCTGCAGGCCTAGGGATGACCAAGGGCATTTGACATCACACAGGAGCAGGCAGCTGTGGCCCAAAACACAGCTGCTTCCCCAGGCATGCAGCAGCTTGGTGCATACTCCTGGTACTCAGATGACTTCCGAGAGCACTTGCTTCCACAACAGCATGGTCTCCCCTGTTACTAATACCAAAGAAACCACCACTTACTGCCTGAGCAGTCACACTGTGACTAGGAAACCATGTTTCATATTTCAAAGGTAACTTAGAAATTACAGTATGGAGCGCTTGACATCTTAAGAGATCTATACGTCATGTTGACACATATAAACAAAAAATGAGACCATACTGCATAATGTCAAGCAGCTTTTTAGCTTGTTTTAAAAGAAGCAACCTTTACAATGTGAAGACATATTTAGGTCTGAATGGGTCATTTTTCTCTTCCTGTTTTTTTTTTTTCCTGACAGCAGACATTCTTTTTTTTATTTCTTCACCAAAAAGAGTTTTATCTCAAGCAATTCCGAAACTTTCAAGACCTGTATAGAAAAATATAATCAATTCTGAAGTTTTTTTAGCTTTTGTTAACTTTTAATAGAGTTATGGAAATCTTTCAGCAGCTACTTTACTTTCCATCAAGAAACAGTGCACAGGGCTCTCAGTAACCCTCCTTACCAAGAGATTTGTGCCGGCAGCACAGGGAGAGGCAGGTACATTATTTTGTGATTAAGAACTAGCAGGTTTGCTCTCCATTTATTTCAACCATCCTATTAGTGCAGCTAAGACATCTGCCTAACATTTCCTTTCACTCTGGTTCATGTGAGCTAAATAACACAAAAGCTAAAAAATGGTCTTTCAGCAACTTTTAATAGCAAGAAAAAATAAACTCCTGCAGTATTATAGATGGACAATCTCTGTCTTGGCTTCATTACCTTCTGTTATTTAAAGAAAATTAGTGGCTTTGCACTGACAAAAGCCATGCAAAAGAATAATGTATTGAGCTCATTTTGTCCAATTTGTGCAGTGAAGTTTTAGTTAATGATCTTACACTTAAAATACTAGGACTCTGTGTCACCATAAACAGGGTAACCAAGACATTTGTTTCAGCGTGCCTAAGTCCTCAACCTTTAATAGAGGCACAAAGCTGTATCTTCCTTTTGCTCTGCTTTGCTCAGGTTCCTCTGCTCTGCTCAGGGTGAGAGCCAGGAATAACTTTTTGTGAACACAGCGCACAGCACTTACATCCATTGCCCATCTCACAGCTACACGTAAATAATTTTATGGCAGAGGTAGCACAACCTGAACAGTATTGCTGAGCAAAAACCAAGCACTGCTTCTTGTAACGCCTCCTCCTGTCCCCTTCTGGTGTGCACGCATATAAACAGATGCATTTATCAGATGCCTGTAATTTATTGTACAGATACCATATACCCTGTTTTATTTCAACAGATTGCTCTGTCATTGCCCCATTTGGTGCCTGCAAAGAGGCTGTACTTCAGGAACTTCTATTCTAGGTGCCTATCGCTAGATTGTCTGTACTGAAAAAACTTAAGACTACTTTTAAGTGAACATTTACATTTATGTATAATACTGTTTAATATTTATAAAGTAGATAATTCTGGGGAATATTTTACTCTCCTGTACTTAGAACAAATCTCTTTCATGCAAATTAGTCCTTCTTCAAACGGCATAGTTAGTAAAAAAATTACCCTGAAGTTAAAAAAAATCTAATAAAATAATTCTTTCAATCATTGTTTCTGAGACACAAATTTGCTGCTCCTGCAGAGATGGGGACATGGCCCCAAGAAAAGCTGACCACTTCATCACAAATGCCTCGTTTAGTGGAAGACTGTCTGTTGTGAAATTCCCCCTCAGCAGGCAGATGAAAAAGCCATGCTGCCCAAAGGGCTTCACAAGAAATTTCGTGTTTGTCACTCCCGCTTGTCATCAATGGAAATTTAGAAGACGCCTTCTGCAGAAATATTTGTCCTGGGAGCCCATCCAGATGACATTCAGCAGACCCCTCCAAATTTCCAATAAAGGTATCAAAAACCTTTACTAGCCGCCTGGAGGTCACAGGGATTGATTCTCCTTCCCATTCTATCTAATGAGTTGACTGTGACCCCCTCTACTGTGCTACAGCCCCCTGGCCTGAGATCTCCTTCACAATTAAGAGCTTGGAGGGTTACGCACTTTTCAGACTGATGGAGAGCAAACAAGTGTTGGCGTGCACACACTTGGCTCTGGAGTCCACATGCACGGTCCTGACGCTACTTCCTACCCAAGGAGAGCAGAGAGGGTGCAAGTGGTGCAGGCTGGGCTGCGCACAAAGACTAGGGCATGCAGCAGCTGGTCCCACTTGCCCCCTGCATCCTCCCCCTGCAGGGCCTAGAGGAATGGGAAGAGGGAAAGTCGCATACAGCAAACGAGGTGGCGCAGGCAATCGTGCAGAGTCGGGAATAGGCAGCCCACGGTGCCGCTGACGGTGGCAGCGTCCGGACGGGACCTGGAGGCGCTTTCTCCGCCCTGCCCGGCGGGGGTGCAGCTCTGGCCGCCGTCGCTGCATCAGGCAGCCGTGCCCGCGGAGTCCGTGACGGGCAGCGGTCCCCAAAGGACTGCCTGAGGGCTGCTCCCCTTCCCTGGGAGAGGGAGAGACGAGCCGGTGCGCACACGTGTGAGTGCAAAACCGTAACCACACACATACGCACACCTGGTGCGGAGGGCGTACGAAACAAACCCGCAGCCAGGCGTCACCTTTGGGGGTGGCCCGGCCGTGCCCAGCACGGGTCCCTCCGTGCCGCAGCTCCGGTGCTCGGCGCTGTGCCGGCGCGGGGGCTTCGGGACCGACTTGGTCTCCTGGGGATTTCGCTGCTCCATCCCATACACGAGTGCCTTCCCCCCACAAAAATGAAACCTCCAGAAGCAAAGACTATTTTAAAAGAGAAGCCGCTCGAGGTGGAGGGAGCGGTCTCCGGACCGCCCGCACAAACCCCGCGCTGCCCAGCCGCCCGCCCGGGCTGCGCCGCGCTAATTCCGCAGCACCGGAGACATGAGGATCTCATACCTCCGGACAACTGCGTGAGTCATAAATACACGGCGCAGGGCTGAAAGTCGACACTGTTTACAGCGACTTTGCCGCGGCCTTCGGAGAGTCAAACATCCACCCCCCGCGCAGGGGCCGCGCTGCGCGGAGGTTCCGCACCCCGCACCGCGGATTCCGCGGGCACTTGCGGCGGCGGCGGCACCTGCGGCCGGCGAGGGGCGAGGAGGGGGCGGCCTCCCCGCCTCCGCCGGCCGTCGGTCGGTCGGTCCGTCAGTCCGTCCGTCCGCAGGAGCGCGGCGAGCGGCGCTGGGGAGGGACGCGGTGTTGGGTTACCCCGGCCCGGCCCCGCCGTCGCCGCGGGGCCAGCGGGTGCCGCGGGGCAGCGCCGGCGGCCGCGCAGCCCACGGTATGTCGGGCCGGTGACTTCAGCCGGGAGATATTTGGAGGCTCCGCGGGGTCCGGTGCGGGGGGCCAGCGTGTGTTTGGGTCTGAAAGCGAATCAGCGGAGGGCGCGTCACTGCCAAAGGGCCCTATAAATCCATCTGCGGCGCCGAGTCGCCCTGGCAAAGCCCCCGCGTCCGCACGTCCGGCTCCGCGCTCGCTCCGTCCGCGGGTGCGGCGCCCCCCGCTCCTCGCCCAGCCCCAAGCCCCCACCCAGCCCCGCCGGCGCCCGGGGAGCCCGGCGCGCCCAGGCCCAGCCGGAGCGGGCGCTCCCGACACCGGCCCAGCTTCCCGCCGCGCTCCCGCTTGGATCTAAGCTTTCGCCGCGACGGGACCCCGCTCTGGAGGAGGAAGCCTCGCTGCTGCTGCTGCTACCGGCTCTACAAACCCCAGTGCCGGCCTCTGAGTCTCACAGCAGACTGAGGGGGGGTGGTTTGATTTTTATTTTTTCAATCGTTTTCCCCTTCCTTCCTCCACTGGGGTGGGGTTTTTTCTTGGTATTTTTTCTCTCTTTTTTCTTTTTTTTTCTTTTTTTTTTTCTCTTTCTTTTTCTCCCGCCGTGGTGTGCGTGTCCGAGCGGTGCGCGGCTCCCGGCAGTGCTGGACCAGCTGGCGTTACAGGAGCGCTGATGTCTTCATCCGACTCCCCGCAGTTGTTGATGGAGTGTCTTTCTCAGATTTCCAGGCAGGGTCCCAAGCTCAGCACCCAGAGCCAGCTCCCGCTGCCAGGCGGCGCTCCCCGCGGCTCGGGCCGCTCCCGCCGCTGCTGAGCGCGGCTCCGGGGCCGGGGCGGGCGGAGACCCCCGCGGCGCCGCTCCTGCCGCGGGCACAGCACCTGCGGCGGCGGCGGGGGAGGCCGCCGGGGACCGTGCTGCCGGCTCCCCGCTGCCTCCATCCAGACCTGCGACCTTACACCCCCTCCTCCATACGTGTCCCCTTTCCCCCTCCTTTGAGCAAAGAGGGTGCCGGCAGTCGGACCCCGACCTGCCCACATGAATCGGCCGGCCGGCCGGTCGACTCCACGGCGTTAATGTCCATCTCGGGTCGGACGAGACCAGCTCAGAGGTGAGGGCGAGGATGGGTGCGCGGGGGGAGGGCGGGACGGGCGGGCGCTGTCTCCGGGAGCACCCCGCAGCTCCCCCCCGGACACGGCGAGGTGCGAAGGCAGCGGCCGGCGGAGAAAGCGCGCACCGAGCGGCAGCCGCGCCCTAAGCCCGGCGCTGCACCGGGACCTCCGCGGTTCCTCCCCGGTGGGGCTGCTCCTCCCGGGCCGGACACTGCCCTGTGCCGCTGCCGGGCAGAGCCGAACCGGGCTGGGGGCAGCTGCTACCCCCGGGCGGCGTGCAGAGGGCAGCGGGTACGTGCCGTGGCAGACTTCGGGCAAGGCGGCCGGGGAACGAGGAGGAGAAAAAAGGGACAAGGGACGGGAAGGGGAGAAGGGAAGGAAAAAGAAAGAGGGAATGAAAGACTGGGGAGGAGAAGAATACAAGGAGTGGGAAATGAGAAGGGAAGGGAAAAGAAGAGGAAAATTGAAGGGAGATAGAAACAAAGAGGAAAGGAAAAATGAAAGTGGAAGGAGAAAAGGGAAGGAAAAAGGAAATCTTGAAGTAAGGGGGAAGGGAAACAGGAAGAAAAGAGGAAGACTATAGGGAAAGGGGAAAGAATGGGGAAAAGGAGGAGTATAAGGATAAAAGGTGGCAAGTGAAGATGAAAACAAAAAGGAAAGGAAAAAAAATTAAGAGGAAAGAGAGGACTGGATAGGGGAAGGGAAAGGGTGTGAGGAAGAAGAAAGGGGGAAAAGAAAGAGGGGAAGGGAAAGAGAGGGAAAGGGAAAAGAAGGTTTGCTTGTAGCACATAAAGTCTGCACAGGCCAGCACCCCAGATCAGCCTAGTGCTCTCCGGTCCAGCCTGAGAACAAGTGCCCTGGTGCTGCTCAGGTGCTTGACAAAACACAAGGTGACCTGCCTGCCAGCGAGAACAGGGACATGGTCCCTCCCTAGAAACAGAGTTCTGGGGCCTGCATGTCTGCCTTCCCCAGTGCAGCTTTCTCAGGCATAGAGGGACTGGAGGCCATCCTGTGCCTCTCTCTCCCACACCACTCACTTGCTGGGGAGAGCCTGCCTCACTCGCTCTGGCTGCACAGGGAGCAGGTTGTTGTTCATCTGCTGTCCTCAGGCCTGGCCTGGGTGAGCCAGTGTGATCTGGGGTGCAAAACTGCTTAGCTTTGTCTTTGGGCTGGGATAGGACTGCAGGAACATAGCAGCTGGGAGCTCACCCTGCCTCTCCTTTCTGCCAGGGGCCCGTGTTGGAAGGACATCTAAGATGAAGTTATGGGATGTTGTGGCTGTCTGCGTGGTGCTGCTCAACACGGTCTCCACCTTGCCCCTGCCCACCGGTAAGACGCCTCCCAAGGGGTCCCCTTCAGTGGTAGAGGGACCTGAAGATGATCTCTCCCCCATCAGCCTGCTGCCTCCCTATGCTGTGCACAGTGACTGTAAGAAACATTCCCCTTTGTAGCAACTGCTGTCTGTTTTGCTAAACTTGCTTCCCTTTGCTCAGGTGCCAGGATGAGAAAAGGATCCCCCCTCCATTTTGTGCCCCTGTTTCTCCACAGGTGGTGTCATTGTCTTTGGTCATGCTAGAGTAGCTCCAAACCTAGTCGTTCTCCAAAGCCTGGGGTTGACAATTGCAGTGGCAATGCCCCCTACCCACTCCAGCCCTGCCTTCTTGGCAGTCTTAGGATCTCTCTGGTTGAAAAACATGGCGAGGTGGGAAAGTTTGTTGTAAGCAGTGGAGCCGAGAGGAGGATTTGGTTCACACCCCTCGCAGCACAGGCACTGAAACTCCTTCCCCACTGCCTCAGCCTCCTCTCCCTGCCAATGCAATTACTCTCTACCTGTAGTGGGCGCAAATCCTGACGGAGGTTTGGCTCCGTGATGGGAGGCACTGTACACATCCTGGAGTACTGCTGAGCTTCATTAAATCCTCCTTGGATTCTGATCTCGAAATAAGTGTGTCCACATGGAAATTTACAGAAGAGTAGCTGTGGCAGGGTTAGGAGCTTGATGCAGAGCAATCCACGTGAACTAGCTCACAGTAAGACAGTTTACAGTCCAAATGACAGATAATAATGCCTTGCTAATAATAGGTCCTGTACCTACAGTAGCAGGTACAGGATTTTCACAGTGGTATGTGAGCACTGTGTTAACTCCGGTGGCTTTTTAAAGAGAGAGGTAATATGACTCAATAAGAAGTGGTAGAATACTTACATGAATAGTGGAGTGCTAAGTGCTTCACTTAGCAAAGGCACCGACACAGTTTAAAGGTTGCTTCTTTTGGCCTTGCTCATCCCCCTCTCTGTTTAGCTCGTTACGGGATGCAGACAGTATCCAGTAATTGGGATTCATTTCTATCTCCTTTTCTGGAGGCATGTCCTTTCCCTGTGCACGCCACAGCTCCAGTCACAGGCAGCTGCACTCTGGTTTCTCTGGGAGCAGCCAGGCTGTGCAGTGTGGAGGCACCAAGCATTTGCTGTGACTTCACTTTGACCCCTCCCAAACACCCATCTCTTCCATACGCACACATTTTTATCCTTCCCCATTTAGTCTTCTCTCTTTCCTTCTCTTGCTAGTGTTTCCCCCCTGCTGGAATCTTGCCTGTGCTCCCGCCTCCGCGTGTCCCAGCCTGCTGCTCATAGACTGGCAACCCTGACATCCTTTCAGCCCCTCCACACAGGGAGGTTGGCCAAAAGTGTTTCCTCACCAGGCTTCAGCCTGCCAGGATCATGGGGTTATCACACATGGTAATCTTCTTCTCCATGGCAAGCCTTGTGGTGGATAAGTGCTGTCCTACAAAAGGCAGTGATCAGCTTTTCGGGCCACTGTGCTGCTCCCCTCTGTACAGGCATGCTGAGGTGCTGGTGGCAAGAAGAGCATTAGGGGGAAAGCATAATTAGCCAGTTTGTAGGTTTCACAGAAACTTCAGGGTGGGAGAGCATTAATGCTCCATCTTTCCAGAGTTACAGTATTTGTACGATGCCCACTTTTATCTTGAAACTACCTTCTTTTATCTTGAAACTACCATATTGCCTGGGAATATGGTCCCATGTAAGCAGATTCCTCTACAGCAACTCAAGGGGATAGGTAGCAGTAGTAATTCTCTCAGTTCCTAGTATCCAAAGCTTCTCACCATTGCGTCTTCTTTCTTCGTTTCCTGTGAGTTGGATAAATAAGAAGCAAGAAGAAAGACAACCTGTGTTTTACTTGAGCTATGGTAGTATCAATATTATCTCTGTTTCCAGGGTACAGACATAGGCTTAGCCATGAAGTGCTGGGTGAAAGGTTATTGCCCCGGATAGTCATTTGAGAAAGGGCTGATAGTTTGGTCTCGATTTTTTAAACTCCGTGTATCACAAACAAATGCGCCTGTCTGCAAGGGCAAAGGGCTGTTCTTCACATCAGAAACTGAGGAAAACCCAGGGTGTTCCTGCGATCTTTGTATGGCAGCAGTTAACATAAAAATCGAGTCTGAAATTTAGAAATTCATCTCTATGTTGCCAAGTCAGATGAATCAGAGGAGACCTGCAGAAAGATGACTGTAAGAGAGCAGTGAAATACTCTGGTGTACTTTTTAGTAGATTTAAAAGTGTGTGGTGTCTGGAGAACAGTCTGTAAACAGGCTGTGAGGCTGATCCTACCCAGCCACATCACTGCCTTCCTGCTGCAGCAGCACTTTGCTCTAGTCACCCCCATCAGTGTCTTTGACATATTTGTTCTCTCCACTTACAATCTGGTGGCATGCACCCTTCAGCATGGGAAAGACATAGAACCAAGTACACAAGAGGAATCAATGTCTACACCATGTAGATTTCCCTTTGCACTTGGAGGTTTCTCTTACTATCAGAGCACAATGTGCTACAAGGACAGAGGCATGCTTGCAGCTGTCCCATGTACTCACATCTCTGTGGATGCTGTTGGTCAGCTGCTTTGCTTTTGCAAGAGACAGGTCACAAAGTGGTGGGAGCACCACCATTGCCTGTGCTGCCTCACTTGCAGAGGGCAGTGTGTGGGTCCTGAGCAGGACTGGGTGCTGTGTGCCTACAGAGAGGTGCACTGCTGGCCCCTAAAGCAATCCCTTTGCAGGCTGAGCATAGTTTTTCTGCTCCCAGGTCCACTGCTCTTACTCCAGAGCAGCTGGATCTCCCACACAATCCTTGCATCAAGGCTTAGTAGGACTGTGAGGTCAAGTCCACTCCTAAGGCCAGGCCAAACAGTTTGCTGGAGACCAGATCTGTTTCCCAGGCCCTTGACACCTTTTTGCATTCTCGTCTGATGGGATTGCTTTCTTTGCAAAGTACTCTGAGGTCACCTGATATTACCCCATCCCTTTCAGGTTGACTTGAAACCTTCCTTCATTCCAGGCTCCAGGCAGGGTTCTAACATCCTGGGCTGATCAGGTGTAATGTGCTGACCTTTGCTGTTCAGGGCAGTAATCAGAGATGGCAGAGGGTGCTAGCAATTGCAATCTTCTGCATTTTTAATTGGACTGAAGGCTGGAGTATCCTCCACAAATGCAGTGCATTGGAGATGAATCCAGTATTTGTTGGTGTTCTGGTGTCAATATTCATGGGATAGCTTATTTCACACTCACACAAAAAAAAAAAAAAAAAAGAAAAAAAAAAAAAAAGTAGCGTTTGCAACTGTTTCATTGTTTCTCTTATGCTACAGTCCTCTGGGGGAAGAACACTATTAGCTTAAATACCAAATGCAAGTAGAACAAATATAAACCACATAATTATAAACTAAATACTAAGTCAGCAGCCTCAGAAGCATGACAGTGCAGAGGGAGCCAAACACTTGTTTGCATTATACACAGTCGCCAGTGAATACATCTTGTAACTGCTTGCTGTTGGATGCACATAATCAACATGTACGTGAAGACTGGAGTGTCCTAAAATCCATGATATGATATGTAGCCTCTTGACCAAGTGAGAACCTGTACTAAGAACTAGTGATAAGCAGATAGAATTAAATGAAACATCACCCCATGGGATTTTCCCTCCTAGTAAGAGGAAAACAGAGGTTTTTGTATCATGGTGTCTGAGTTACTCTACAGCTACTGAATGGTCATTCACTGTTGGAGCTCTTTTGGTATATGCTGTGACACACCATGGTATGTGTGTGTTATACCTCTGTTAACAGAGGTATCACTTATCCCTGCTAAGGTGTATTTAATATTAAGTTACTGCTTTTAGCTGCGACTTTATCAACTAATATGGAAAGTACCTAGAAAAAATAGTGGTATTGTAGGCCTCTTTAAGGCTAAAACAGTATTTAATTATGCTTCCAACTGAGTGCATTTCCTGCCTTACAATATTTATTAGGTCCACTCAATGTCACAAACTACAACTCTCATGTTTCTGAGCAGGCTTTCCTGCTCAGCACACCTATGGTGTGGTATATGTGCTTTAGCCTCAGAGACCCAGAATCTGCAGAGGTAACCTGCCCTGCAGAGTAAACCCAGTGCATCAGGGAGGCAGGTATCAGCCACACGGAGCAGGTGCCACCCTGAATTATCTGATCTGTGTGCATCCAGCACATCCACTGCACCCAGCACAGCCAGCACAGCCAGTGCACCCAGCATAGCCAGTGTCAGGCCAGGGTGCCCAAGCCAGCACACCAATGCACTAAAGTTTGTTCGCGCAGGGACGTACAGGTTATCCAGGCATTCAGAAACCCCAAGCATCCAGAATGGCCATGTCAAAATGATGCCCATAATGACCATGATTCATGGGCAAAATTCTATAAAAATAAAGAAACCAGGCAGATGTGCTTAAATCCAGAGGCATGTAGCCCTAGAAGCAAATTGCTCCACAGTCTCAGGTATAAATACTGAATATACTCCAATGAAGAGCAATCTGTGACTTAAGGAAGAAAGTTCTGAATTGCAGGAGAATAAAGGTCCATTCTCATTTTGAGTCATCCTTTGCTGAAAGTTTTAGTTCTTTGCTGCATTTCAATTTAGGGATCTCAGAAAATTGCCAGTGAAACTGTAGATGTTGTTGGATGCTTTGCAGCTGTTTATTAACTGATAACATACCTGGGCATACTTTTCTTCTTCACCTTTCATAAGCATCTTCAGTGTATTTTAGAAAACCCCATGTTTAGGGTTTGCAGATTAATAGCTTCAAAATGTTCCTTGAAAAGGAAAAGAAATGCAACTGTGTTAAGTATTCATCAGACTGCTACTGAATTTAGTGGGGAGGCATTGTTTGTCCACTAGCAGAAGATCCTCAGACTGATAGATTGTAATGTCTTTGTAAATTTTGCTGTTCCTGGTTAGTACTGCAAAAAGTCGTTTTACAGTAATTAAAGTTACAAAGTCTTTGAGAAGCCATTTGGGTCATCTCTGCCCACAATTGCAGATGTTCAGAGGTGCATATCTAGTGCGAATTCCCAGCTTTCACCCCCCCCACACTATCTAGAGATTGCAACA